TAACCTGCCCTGCCCTGCCCTGCCCTGTCAGGGCAGGGCAGGGCAGGGCCAGGTTAAGGAAATTTTCACAGGGCAGGTTGCAGGGTACGGATGTCGTAACCTATCAACCTGTAACTAATTTTGTGAGCTAGATATTGTCGACATCTTTTCAGAAGTTATACATTAAGAAACAAGATAGAATTCAAAGTGAAAGTGAACTGAGAAATCAATTTAGATTGGTCGTTAAGACATTCAATAGAAACAGATTTATCGATAACTTATCCATTATATATTCTATAGCTATTCAAGTGTATATGTAGTTTTTTTTATTTTGAGTTTTATATTCTTTTTTTTCTTCATTATTACAATTAAATAATTTCTAAAATATCATCATCAATATCAGTTAAATTTTCCTCTTACTGGAATATCAACTATGTCTAATTCAAAACAAGATATAGAACGAAAAAAGAAGCAGGTGATAGAAAAACTTAAAACTGGTGAATTTATTGCTATATTAGAACCACCATCATCATCTCATGGTTCATTTTGGCAACATTTATTACGTATCAAATGTTTAAACAATGAATATCAACCATTTGTATAATGTCAATTGTGTTATGAAATATTATCTTATTCTATATCAAATGGAACTTCAACTATTAGTTATCATGTTAAGAATTGTTTGAACAAATCAAGTGTGCTAAAAAGTAACAAAACCATTGATAGTTATGTATCAAAAAATACTGAAGTTAATGTAACAGTTGATGATAAACGATCAATAACAGTTGCTTGTGCTAAATTTTGTTCATTTGATATGCGGCCCTTCAGCATTGTAAAGGGTCAAGGTTTTACAAATTTATATCAAAATTTAATTAATATTGGTTATCAGTATGGTACCACTAAAAGTGGTCCACCTTCAGCAAGCTCAGTATTACCTGATCCAACAAATGTTTCTCGTACTGTTTCTCAAATTTCTGAAGAATATAGAGAACAGTTAAAGAATATCTTAAAGGTTGATTTACAAGGTGTAAAATTGATCGGTATATCAACAGATTATTGGAAGAATAGTGGTACAAGTGAAAATTATTTAACAGTAAATATACATTATTCCAAAAATGAAAAAAATTTTACTTATATGTTACGAACTTCATTATTTGATCAATCTAAAACAGGTGATAATACTAGAAAAAAAATTTTTTCAATCTTATCAAGTTATGGCATTGATCCAAATGAATATCATATTGTGTATATAACTGATAATGGTTCTAATCTTATTTGTGCTTTCCGTAAGTGTCTTATGTGTAAAACTCTGTATCGCATAATTTTTTTTATTTAGAAGGAGAAGTACACCTTCGGTGTATTTGCCACTGTGTAAACTTAGCTTTACATAACGGTATCAATTTATGTTCGAACTTAGAATTGTTTATCAAATCTTGTCAAGATATGTGCGTTCATTTCAAAAGATGTGAAATGAATCAGTTATTACAAACGAGTTTAAAATTAAACGATATTGATTCAAGCATATCATGAATAGAATTCCAAC